TGGGAAGCCATTTCAGTGTTAGCTTATGTCGTATCGTGTACATGCTGCAGCCAGATCAGTGGCATGCGTTTTCTAATTCACTCAGAAAAACATGGAAAGCCATTTCGGTGTTAGGTTATGTCGTACCGTGTACATGCTGCAGCTAGATCAGTGGCATGCGTTTTCTAATCCACTCAGAAAAACATGGAAGCCATTTCAGTGTTAGGGTATGTCGTACCGTGTACATACTGCAGCTAGATCAGTAGCGTGCGTTAGTTCTAATTTACTCGGAAAAAACATGGGAAGCCATTTCAGTGTCAGGGTATGTCGTACCGTGTACATGCTGCAGCTAGATCAGTAGCGTTTGCTTCTAATCCACTCGGGTGAAAAATTAAGCTCTATTTAACTTCCTAGTTCGCTCACGAGTATCGTAAAACGTGAATCTTTGCAGTCATACTTGTTTGATTTAGATGATGTTTTTTTTAGTATCTTAGAGAACTCCATGGACTCTACAGATATCGACCAAGGTCCGTTCTTGAATAACCGTCCCTGGGTGGCTGTCTACTATGTCATCTATATCATCATCATCGCCTTTTTCATGGTCAACATATTCGTTGGTTTTGTTATCGTCACATTCCAGAACGAGGGTGAAGAGGAATATAAGGATTGTGAACTAGATAAGAACCAGGTCAGTATGGAATCAATGGAAATCGATTATTTGGAATAGAAATCTATTACTTTTTGCACCTTGGACAATTATTCACTATTAAGTCTCTATCATTGCAAGCTCGCCGTTCGTCTTGCTTCGATGCAAAGGCACGGCTACCTTTCAATATGGCTGAGGCGACTGTGAAGGGGACTATTGCTAAATATGTCAATACCAGGGGTTCTATTTGTGTCGTCACGCAGAGTACAGTATAAAAACATAAGACTTGTCACTAGCACTAGGGTGTGGCCCTTTCTGGCCCATTCGGGCTCTAGGACTAATTGCTAAAAATTCAGTACAAGGGCTTTTATTTTTGTCGTCATCAAGGGTACAGAGTAGAAAAACATAAGACTTGTTACTAGCACTAGGGTGTGACCTTATCTGGCCCCGCCCTAGACATTGAGCGACGATGCGTAAAACGTCGCTAAACATAACTTTTTACTTTCATTATCGTCACAGGGATAGATTGTGTGTCATTCTTCTAATCATTCTTTTCTATTTCAGAGAAAATGCGTGGAGTTTGCCCTGAAGGCGCGTCCCATTTGCCGATACATCCCCACCCATCGGCTACAATTCCATGTGTGGCGAGTAGTAACATCACAACCCTTTGAGTACCTGATATTTGCATTTATTACTGGCAATACCATTCTGCTTATGATGCAGGTAATTATTACCGCCATTTGCATTGCTACCGGCCACCCCAGACAAAAACCGCAACGTGCACTTTGCAATAGACTGCCGTCAATCAAACACGTTGACCCCATTTACACGCGTTTGGATCGGCCCAGATAGGCCCGGTGAGTGTGGCTCATAATACTTGTAAACAATCGACCGAAGTTTTGGCGCCTTTTGAATCACACGCGTGTAAATGACGTCAACGTGTTTGATTGACGGCAATCTGTTGCAAAGTGCACGTCGCGTTTTTTGTCTGGGGTGGCCGCGTGGCAATGCAAATGGCGGTAAATAGAGAAAAAATAGAGAAATGGGATTTAGTCGTGAGTGGCATTTATGCAGAGTAAGCCTTCGTTCACTAAAAATCCAGTTGGAATTTAATCATTATTTTTGGATTAAAACCCTCGAAGCACAGGAAAGAACCAACAAGTAACTCTACTCACTTACGATACTGATTCTGGGAGTCAAACCCGTGTCGCATTGGTAGTGAGAGGCGAGCGCTTAACGTCACCAGTACTTCCCATACGTACAGATGTATTTAGCAAGACAATCTTTAGACTTGAGACTAGAATTAAGTATTCCTGTTTCTTTTTCCCTTTTAGTATTTTAACGAGCCGAAGCTGTACACCAGGGTCTTAGATGGTTTTAATATCGGCTTTACGTCTGTTTTCTTACTGGAGTGCATCCTTAAACTCTTTGCCTTCAAACCAAAGGTAGGTCGTTTCTTTATTCACCTGGGCCCGGTTGTACGAAGGGTGGATAGCGCTATCCGGCGGATAAACCTTTATCCAGTGGATAAGTCGATCCTGTCAGTTATCCAATAAATTTAAGCACTGGATAAAATTTGTCCATTGGACAGCGCTATCCAGGCTTCGTACAACCGGGCCCTGGTTGGTCATGCCTCATTAGTGGATCCAGGTAGGGGCTAACAGGCTCCCTTGAACCCCTTTGCCATTGAAGGAATGCTTACATATGTATATTGTCTAATTTACACTAATTCATTTTCAATGTAAAATGGCCCTCCCCCGTGTTCAACATTTTATGTAAAAAGACTCCCCCCC